CACTCCCATGACCCTTCTATTTCACCTGCCTTCCAGACCCCCACCCCTAGAACCAGCCCACCCCAGGGGAGAGGATACCACAGCCCAGCGGGCAGGGCCCCTCGTGTTTGCGGCCCAGTCTCAGCCACTGTGACTGCTTGTGAGTCCCTGAGCGACCTTCTGTCAGGGCCTCTCTTCCAGCCCCTCTAGAGCTAACGCGACTGCTGGAGCAGGCTAAGCGCTTGCATAGGTGGAGCTGACTGTGCAGCAGGGCTGGGTGGGGAGTATCAAAGGAATGTGAAGCCATGGGGGTGGACGGGGTACATCAGAAGGAGGAAGGGAAGAGGGCTGGGGCAGGGCCAGGGAAATGGTGCTTGGCTCAGTGCCCACCCTTTCTCCTGGGTCCCCGTCTCAGGAGGTGGCTCCTTCAGCAGAGCTGGGCATTGTAGCACCTCTGGCTCCTTGGACCCTACTCCTCTGACATACAGTGGCCCCCAGCCTCCATCCCTGACTTCAGTTACCATCATCTCTGGCTCTCCTTCCCCTCTCCCATGGGCCCTGCTTCCTTCCTGCATCCCCAAGACAGGGGAGTGAGCCTGGGGCGTAGGCAGTGCTCCCTGCAGGATTGCCCAGGACACACGTCCCTCTTGCTGAGTGAGCCTTGGGGCCCCTGGAGGTCCTGTTAAAATACAGATGGCTGGGCCCACTCTGCAGCCTGAGGATTTTTGCAGGTCCAGCAAGTTCTCAGGTGGTGATGCTGGGACGGGGTGGGCAGGGAGGCCACGCCCAGGAACCACACTTTGAGAACCAGTGGTGTGCATCGAGTATCTGGATGAACCTCAGTGAGTCTTCAAGGCATGTTCTGGTCCGTGCAGAGGGATCTGGGTGCTCCCCAATTCAGGTCCTCATGCAGCAATTGGGACATCCTCAGATCTAATTGCTTTTGGGGGCACCTTATTCCACTGGATTCCCATGACTTTTTCCATCAGCAGTTGTTTTTAACACATGCATGGTGTAAAATAACACCATCCAAGATGGGTGCAGTTGATTCTTAGACTCAAGGGCAGATCTGATTTGGGGTGCATTTAATCATGTTTGGTTTGGCTAGTTGTTCGGTCTTTCTAGATTGTGTGTATACACACTGGTGGTGTCCCTGGTTCCTGTGCATCCCTCCCACTGTGTCATTTCCCAGGCTTGGCTGAAGGTGTTGAAGGGCTTGGGGAGGAGGCACTGTCTCACAGCTCAGGACATCCTCTGGGTAGAGTGATCCATCATCAGCCCCTTTGGACCACAGGACTCCTCCTAAAGTAACTCAACTCCAGCTTCCCACTTAGCAAAAAAATGGCCTTCTAAAGCCACTTGAATACAAATAATTATGTAATGAAACGAAATGGCATGGCCCGAGCTCACCCATGCTTGGGTTGGAGATGGCTTGTTCAAAGAGCGTCCCATGTCTCTTACATACCAGGGGCCACATGCCTGGGATTTGGGACGTGAGTCACGATGACAAGCGTGTAGAGGTGCCCAGAACAGCTCTTCATGCAGAGACTTCCCAAGAAGACAGTGACAGCCTCCATTGTCTTGATAAGAGTTTCCTTTGGACGCCACCCAGTTTCCTTATTCTCCCTCTCTGCTCACCAAATTACTGGTATATAATTTGGTTTCTCAAGCAGATTGATTCTGGAGCCAAAGTATACTCCTACTGTAAATAAGTGAATTGGTCTCCTGGCTCACAGACTGTGTCTGGTGAGTGTAATTAGTCTAACTGGATTTCCTGGGGCCCACCTGATGGCCCTGGGGTGACTTGAGCTTGAAAAGGCTAACACTCCATGATGCTCCCCCCACATGAGACCCCACCGTCCCTCACCCCCTTTAATGTGGGGCTCCTTCTGTGTGAAGAGTCCTGATCTTCTTCCAGATCTGCTCACACTCATTCAGTCAGTTCATCTGCAAATATTTCTTGAGCACCTGCTACATGCTAAATATTGTTTTAGATCCTAGGGATACAACAGGGAGCAAACCAGACAAAAATCTCCACACCAAAGAGCTTGCATTTTAGTAGGAGCAGACGGGCAAAAGAATAAAGAAGTAAAATATAAGGAGGCCAGATGGTGAGAAATGCTGTGGAGAATGGAAAGCCAAGAAGGGGCTAGGAAGTTCTGGGGAGAGAGAATCAGGAGGCTGAAGGGAGATGATATATCAGAAAAAAAAAAAAAAATGGAAGGAAGGAGGTAGCAAACTTGCAGATTTCTGGGAGAAAAGTTTTTCATGTAGAGGAAACAGCATGTGCAAAGGCCCTGAGGCTGCACTATCACTAGGTTGGCCTGGGAATGGAGGACAGGCTGTAGGGGCCAGTAGTGTGAGGCCTTGTAAACCATAGTGATGGCTTTTGGCATTATTCAGGAAGACGGGAAGAACATGATCAGACTTGGGTTTTCAAGGGTCATTAGAGGGCTGTGCTTATTTCTGGAAGTTTCTGCAATTGGATTGCATCCTGATGAACAGTGAGCTATATCACCTGCTCTCTATCATCCTGCTGGGAGGCTGTTTCCACTGTGAATGCTGCCCTGAACACGGGTCTGGCTCTGCATGTCACTTCCCCCACTGGACCTCAGTGTCCCCAGCTCAAGGCTGCATGTGGATGATTCTGGAAAGCAGGGCTGGGGTCTGGGCTGCCCTTGATACCCACCTTTGATAGTCCTGCCCACTGAGTGCCTGCTGTGCTTCAGTAACTATGATTACAGAGCAGCAGCAGGAAATGGTGGACTCAGCCTCACTGGCCAGTCATGGTGGAGCTGGGGTGTGGCGGGGGCCCTTCAGGCCTAGTTGGGAAGACAGGCTTTCTGAGGGCAAAGCTCGATAGCATTGTAAGCATTGTATGCACAGTGCCTGAAGGGTTACAGCAGGAACAATGGCTAACAATTATGGCATGCTACTCAGCCAGGGTGAAATCATTTTGGGGGGTCAACCTGACATCTGGAGTGGAGCCACAGACTTCCGGGACCCAGTTCCTGGCAGCAAACAGCGATGCCCGAAGATGCTGAAGCTCCCCACCTCTTCCCACTGAGGCTCCTGGTCTACCCTCAGCCAAAGCCCCTCATGTGCCCCAGGTCACAGGGCTCCCAGGCTAAGAAATGAGAGACCCCATAGAGATGGGGGTTCCTGTGCTGCCTCCAGCTTCCTAGGATGGCAAGCAGGGCACTTGTCTCTGGGTAGAGCCAATGTCTGGAAAATGGGCCAGGCGGCCTATGTTGAGAGCAGTTGCCTGCTCTGGGGAGTCTGCCTGGGACCCCAGCTCAGGGTCATGGAAGAGCCCCTGGCAACCTCAGGAGCCTCGCTGGGCCTCCGGTTCCCTGTCCCATAAAGGAGGACTGGATTCCATCGGGGAAGTCCCACCTCTGCCCGCAGGCTGCCCTGCGGGAGGAGATGTGTGGGTGGGAGGGAGAAGATGGGGTGTCAGAGAGAAGGAAGAGTTGGCTGAGCCAGCAGGGGACCCCACTCCCACCCACCCCACCACCACAATCAGAGGGGTTCCACTGACCTGTTGGATATTTTGGGGCTTACCCATGAATTTCAATTTAGGAAGGGGTTCTTGCTTAGGAAAAAGAGCCATGTGGGACCCCCACAGGAGTTCCTTCCCTGGCAGGCCATGCCTCCAGGGCTGAGGCCAAGCGCTTGGTTCTATACCTTCTGGAGTTTGCGAGAGCAGGTGGTCAGCAAGAAGACATTTGCCTGGGGAAGGTCCTTTGGGGCCGGGCTGCCAAGTCTTGGAGTTTTAATGAGTTTCTCCTTCTTCCTGTTGTTCTTAAGGCAGTTTTTCTGGTTAGTAAATGGAGCTCTTAGCTTTGGTGTTCCACCCGGACGTGTGGTGGAAGCAGACGCTTCTAGCCAGCAGGCAGGGAAGGGTGGTACTCTGAGAGGGAGCAGATGCTATTGGAGGGGTGGGTCCCCCAGAACCCTCCTCTTCACACAGGAGGAAGACCTCTCTGAGCAGGGCCTTATGAACCACCCAAATGGCCTTGGGTGAGGTGGGATCCTTGGTGAGGAAGAACTCACACGGTGGTGGCAGGTGGCCCTTAGCCCCATTGTGTTCTTCCTGCGCGTCCAGGACCTCCACCTTCTCTCTGGTCCACTAACATGACCCATTTTCCCACCTGGAATGCATCCCAGGTGGCTTCGAAATGACAGGTAATTCTCTCCACTTCCTTCTTTCCCGTGTCTTCTGAACAAAAAGCTCACAAGCCCCTTTTATGAAGAAGGGTGTTCCTGGTCTGGGCTGAGGTTTTGGTGGTGCTTCCTCCGCAGTCTCCTAGCAGGGTGCCCCCCACCCCCACCTCCATTTTCACAGTCATAGAAAGTCACACCTCTTCCCACTACTGGTTGCCACATGACACCTGCTTGTATTTCAAGACTCAGTTGAGGTGTCACCTCTGAGAAACTGCCCCTGCCCTCTGAGTTAGATGCTTTTTCCCATAGAAACTTGTACTAATACTTATTATCCCCGCATTGTACCTGTCACCAACCAGTCTCTCAGACCACGTAGTGTGTTTCTACGGAGAAAGGACACTTTTTACCATCTTCTTCTTCATAGATATTTCGTACTCCTACCACCAGTTTTCTGTGCTATGCTCAAGGCAGACACTACTAATCCATCATGGCTCTCCTGTTGATGATCCCAGACCCAGCTTCATGATTGTTTTTAGCCCAGCACTCCAGGCATCAAACAATTATAACTACCTATAAAAAAAATCCAATGTGCTGTCCAGTCTTGGGCTTCCCCTAGCAGATGTGTATATTTGTTCTCTTGTCACTTGATACTTATCAGTTGTTGGGCTGACAGTAAGAAAACAAAAAACAAAGAGGCTATCCTGTGGAAATGTGCCTGTTCTCATCAAGGGGAGAAGGACTAAAGAAGAAATTAAAGGCTGAATGTAACTTCACATGGAAATGTCCAGACCTACATTCTGATTGGCGGCTGATACAAGGCTTGGTGTCCTTCCAGAACGAAGCGCCAGGAGACTATGGGTTAACAGCTCATGGCGAGGAAGCCAAGGTGTCATCTGATACCCTCGGTGTCTCAGCTGAGAGGCAGGACACTACTCCTCCAGGCCAGGATAACAGGTAAATTCTGCAAATTCATATGCTCCTAACCAAGAATTACCAACGATGAAGAGCATTTTTATAAAACCAAATGACAGGCAACCCTTTTGGTGGACTGTGGGCAGTTTACCGGAGTCTGGTGATAAGGACTGGGGGTCGCAAAGGGCAAATGATATCTACCTAACAAACCCAAGGAGGGGGGTTGTGTGCAAGGTAGGAGAAGGTCAGGGACAGGTTTCGTGGGTCTGCCAAGCTCCAAGTGTCATGCAGTGTGAATGCCAAGGACAACAAAAACCTGTGAAATAGTTGGAGGTGATTCAGTTTGAGGTCACATGTCCCTCAGCCCCTGTGCTATGAATTAGTGTGAGGTCTAGAAGACGGTGGCCAAAGCTAGAGTGGGCCCCGGGGATCCATGGAGTCACCCTGATTTCTTCTGCTTTCCAGTCACATCCTTAATAATGCCACCCTCATTTTTCCAAGGCAAGGGGCTAATGAGAGGATGCCTGCCAGGACAAATCATCCCAAAGAGATGCTTTCCCCTTGGCACCAGGTCCTGTGTTTGCCCAGCAGCCCACATCCTGCTCTGTCCTGCACCTTGGGGCGGGCTTCCCATTAGTTAATTCAAATTCTCCAAGATTAAAATTAAGCCTATATTCAGGGAGCACTTGAAAGTCTCCCTGATTCCCCTAGAAGGAAGTTGGAAATGGTATCACTAATGTCAGTGCCTCTGCGGCTGGGCGATAGCCAACGGTTCATACAACAATCAACCTAACACACCTAAGTTGTTCCCACAGATTGGTTATCAACTGTTAGCAAAATCCCTCACTTCCTTTATATTGATTTATGGCAGCAGTAGATATATACCACCCCAGAGGACACACCTCCTTTCAGTTAGGAACCTATAAATGTCAGGGTATTTTTATTTGAATTGAGAAGAACCCAGCAAAATGGGGATCTCCACGGTCATCCTTCAAATGAGTCTTTTACTGAGTCAAGTTCTATCTGCAGGTATTATATCTGATTATTGTATTTGTTAATTTTGCTCTTCAAATCCAAATCATGGTAAATTCTAAATTCTGTCTACTTGTTCTGTGGTGCTAGACTTTCCATCTCAAGGGGAATTTTGTATCAAGGAGAAGGCAATTCTTTGTTGGTAATTGCAATTACAATTATTTAGAAGGATGGCTTTGTTTTTGTTTTCTTTCTGGCTGAAAAATTCAGTGGTTGTAGTTCAAAAGTTCAATCATGTCAACGTTTTCAGTAAGTCACTCAATTAAGGAAATGATTAGTCTTAGAAAAATTCCTGAAGTTAAAGAAAAATGTATGTGTATTCTGAAGAGGCCCTAAGACTTTGTCATAACTGGTTTTAAACACGTAGTTTGCATACAATGAAAATGGGCAGAAAAGATTGTCCTGTAAGTGCTCATTATGTGGCTTCTTTCCTCAGGTGTCTGGCTTGATTATTAATATTTACTGAGCAAAATCAAGTCAGGTAGCTGAGCACAGAGAAGATTATGATTTCAGGTTTGTGTCGGTCACTCACTGCTTTAGATACATGAGTTGAAGCTTAGTAACTCAAGCATCTCTTTGTGTCCTTGGAGTGTCAAGTGATAAGGTGTCCATGAAAGAGCCAAAGGAAAATCGGTGTGACTCTCAATGTCATTTTGCCGAGGTACTAAGTGAGCAGGATGATTAGCCAGCCTGCCTATTCTGTCTCTGGCTGTTTCTCTCTCTCTGTCTTTCTGTCTGGTCAGCCGTCTGGCATCTTTTCTCTCTCCTTTCTCCCCTTTCCTCCTCTCCCTCCAGCCCTTCCTTCCTTCATTTCTTCCTTCTTTCTTCCCTTCCAACACTCTCCCCCCTTTTCCTTTGGTGTTACCTTTTGCCACTTTTGCAAATTTCAGAAGACAGGGCAAAAGTATATGAATTTCCGGATAACGTCCAGAACTCTCCCTCCCATATCCAGGCTTTATTATAGGGGAAGCTCTGAAGATAAAGGTTCATTTGGGAAATTGCTGTCATGAAAGAAGCACCCCCAAATCAAGCTCTGATGAGCGGGAGCAAGCCCGCATTATGTGAGATGTGTGTGCAGCATGGTGACACCGGTGGGCCAGCGGACAGAGGATGCCCGCTTTCCCTGCCTGCCCGGAGGACGTCAGTGGGTATTGGGTGTGGGCAGCCTGAGGGCTGGAAGCTGTGTCTCCCTCAGAATTTTTGAAAATGGGAGGCAGTATTTTTAGCTCCAGCTTTTATCCATAGAAGGTTAATCCTGAACTTGGCCCTGGCTCTGAGAAGTGACCTAGGACTCATGTCAATCCTTAGGGAGCAAACTGCCCTGTCTTATCTACAGAGGAGCTTAAGGCAGCAGCACTCTTTGTTTGAGGGAACTCGTAGTTTTACTACCCTGCTGTGGGTGTGCACACACGCAGACATGCACACACAGGCATGGGGTTGCCTCTGCAAAGTGCTTACTCTGAACCTGGCACTCTGCTAGGCAGTGTACCTATATTCTCTTGCCTAAATTTGCTGACAACCCCAAAGCTGGTGTCATTATTTCCACATTGCAGATGAGGAAACTGAGGCTTAGAAAGGTTACATGGCTGGTCCAAGGTCAGCAGCTGGTGAGCAACGGGGCCAGGATTTGAACCTGGAGGGGCCAGCTGGCATTCGGCTGGCAGTTTTGGCCCGTTAACCCTCGCTGTTCCTTGCAAAGAGCAGGGATGAACTGCGGCGTTAGGCACAGCCTGGAGCTTCCCCAGGCCCACGCTCGGTGCTGGGAGAATCACCAGAGCACGTACCCTTCTTGGTTCCCGTCTTTGCACCAACTCTTGTGCCAGGTTTGTGCAGGGCTGGAGGGGCTGGAGAACCCCTCCTGCTCCTCCCGTGCCGTTAGCTCTGCTGTTTTCCAGCTCTAAGGGCTCTGCAAGCCTCAGTTTACTCATTCATAAAGTGGAATTGTGCTCCCACCTCATAGGGTTGGACAACGTGAGGTCACCCATCCTGTGTTTGGCACATAAAGGCTGCCTAGGAGCCTTCACTGCTACTGTTCTAGGCATTGTCCTAATGTTTTATCCTAATATAACTTCTGAAATACAAGGTGGTATCCTGGAATGGACCTCAGAACAGAAAGAAGGAAAACTGGTGAAATCTAAACAAAGCCTGGAGTTTAGTTATTAGGAATATATTAGTGTTGGTCTGGTAGTCATGACAAGCACAGCGCCGTGAGCTGCTGACACTGTGGGAAATTGGGTGGCGTATATATGGGACCCCTCTGTATTAGCTCGGCAACTTTTTCCTGACTCTATAAAGTTAATCTGAAAATTGTTTTGAACTTAACTTTTCTTGGTCCCACTGTTCAAGGCCAGTGTTTTGCCACAGGAAGTGAAAATTGCTTGCAAACAAATTCCTGGCAGGTTGTTAATCCTTATATGCACGCTTTCCACAGTTTATCAGGGTTTGGGCAAGGGTGAAAGCCTTCAGGAGAAAATCTGACAGGGGTACTTCAGGCATTGCGCAGATGTCTTTACTGTGCGTGACGTTTGGACTAGGGAGGGGTGCACTTTGGACAAATAACAGGCCACACAGTCAGATAGCTCCCTTCCCTTTGACTCGCCTTCATGGCACAAACTCACCTCTCGGCATTATGTGACTCAGTCGGGTCTAAGTGCCGAGTGTTTCGGATGGAGGAGAAAGTCCACCACCGCTGCCTGGCATCCGGAGCCCGCAGTCCCACCTGGCCGGCTTCTCCTGCCACTTCTCACCTCACCCTGCTGGGCAACAGCCACCTGTGCTCTGGTGCCCCATGAGCTCCAACCCATTCTCTACTCCCTCATTGTGCTTGCGCTGCCTCTTTTCCAGGGTACCTTGAAGCTCACCATCTTGGGGTACAGAGCAGCCTGCCCACCCCACATCCGGCCCTCCAATAATGCCACCTCAGGCCCTGGTGTCTGCACTCACGCCGTCCCATCTACCTGGAAGGCAGTCTTGCTCTCCCTGTCCTTTCCCCGCCTTCATCTGGCTGAATCTAGCTGCTGTTTTTAAATACCACAGGGGTGGCATCCCATTCAGGAATTTCTCTGACATGCTATCAACATACATGGTCACATATAGACACATGCACAGATGGGTGCACACATGGACACACACACATGTGCAGTGTGGCATCCTGTGGTTACCAGTGTTATTCTCCCGTTGCATCTTAGCTCCTGCACTGAGTTACCTGTGTGTGGACTTTCCTAGGGATCCTGCTGTGCTGGAGGGTAGGGACAATGTCTTGCTCATTTAGTCCCTGACACAACATCTTGCACCATCAAGAGCCTAACAGAGAGCCGGCCTCTCACTGCCGCTAATGGACTAGCTGGAGAGCTCCAGCATCGGGCTCCATGGCTCTGCAGGGGAGCGGGTGCAGGGCAGCTGCCCCCCACTGCCCGCTCTCATCCCAGGTCCTGAGCAGTATCTCTATTTCCTTATATACAGGAAATATGCAGAAGCAGTATTAACCACATTCTCTCCATTACTGCTTATCATCGTTTTAAAGCATTTTGCCTTTTTATTAAGTTAAAATGGAATCTCATGGTTTTCATTTGAATTTGGGAGGCAGCAGAGCAGAACTATGCACATTTTAGCTCTGGGGTTGCTGTGCTTGACGTCAGATGCGAGTTTCTCTGCTTAGTGGCTGTGTGACCTCTGACAAGTGGGTCTACCTCTCCGAGCCCTGGATTTCTTGTCTGTAAAATAGATGTGTGTAACAACTCTACCACAGAGGGTCAGTGAGCATAACATGGGATGCTAGCCCTTAGCTCAAAGCCCAGGTGTAGTAATTGCTAAAAATACGAGCCCCTCCTCACCTCTGCCATCTTTGCTCTGCCTTTTCTTCCCTCCCTGCTTCCTCTAACGTTAGCCTCGTTAGCTTTCTTTATCTTAATTTCCCTCCTTCTTGTACTTTTCTTTCAGCCTACAACCAGACGTTCCTCCCAGCCTAAAGCATCTGCCTCCTACATAACCTATCACCCCATCTCCCCGTTTAGCTTCAAGCCACCGCTTTTTAACCCATGAGTCCTATCACCCAGGACTGCTCTTGTTAAGTGTGTATTCCTTTCAAGTTACCTATGTTTGTAAGTGATATCATTTAACATACTTTTTTTTCCCCCTAGAGTTTACCTTTATACTCTGAACATTTTAATGTGCCATTTACAATTTTTGGACATGGAGGTTATTTCAGTTTCTTTCTAAAAAATTTAACTTGTTTTATATTAGGTCCTCAGACTTTATTCGTCTTAGAGCTGAAAGGCTGTGCCTTTTGACCAGTCTTGCCCTATCGCCTCTACCCTCTTGCAGGTTCTTCCTATAAAGGATATCACTGTGAAGATCGTATTTGTCCATACATCTTTATCCATATTATAGAAATTATTATTTCCTCTGGCCAGAGTGTTAGAAGTGAAATTAAGGAGTCAAAAGTTGATCATCTTTAAGGCTTTTCAAACATGCTGATAGATTATTTTCAAAAAACGTACCAAAATAAGAGTGGCAATTTTCTACACTGTCACCAGCTCTGAGTGTTATTATTAAAAAATCTTGGCAAAATTGCTGGATGAAAAATGGTATGGTTATTTTAATTTGCATTTATTTGCTTATAGTGGGGATGAATGTTTTAAAGCCATTTATATTCCTTTTCCTTGAACATGAAGTCTATTCATATGTTTGTCCACTTGTTTTTGAAAGTTAGTGACTTCTTTGATGATTCATACAAACTTACTATATGATTTGGATATTAATACTCTGTCCTTTGTATTGATGACATATTTTCCCAGTTTGTTTGCCTTTTAATTTGGAGTTTGATTTTTCCACCCCAATATTTATGTTTTTATGTACTTAAATGCTATTTTCCTTTGTGATTTCCTATTGATTTTAAATCTAGAAATGTCTTATAGAAATCAGGTACACATTCCATTAGTTTCTCATTTCTAGTTCTTTAGTTCTGAGAATTATTTTGCTTTCTAGTGTGAAGCAAATATCTAAAATACTTTTTTCTATATTTTAATTCTTACAGTTTGATTCTGACTATTTTCAGAGCTAATAATAAATTTTCAAATGCCACCTACATGACCAACAGTACACTAAGCACTTGATTTTTTTTTCCGGTTTTCTTTTCAGGATGACCTTATGAAGTTGTTAGTGTAATTACCTTTTTACAGGAGAGAAAATGAAGACTGAATGAGGTTAAATGACTTGGTCAAGTTTGGAGAATAAGCTCTGCTAGCTAGAATTTTCATCCACATCATCTGCCTTCCTGATTCGTGGGTGTGCAAATCCCCCATCTCCAAGCCACCCCAACTCTTGCCCCCTCAGTATTTTTTCCTTTTCAACAATGTATCAGTTATTTTTAGTCTGTTTATTTTCCCTGATGAACTTAAGAATCATTTTTAAAAGAACCAACCAATAAAACAGAAAACCTTCTAATGGGAATTCTAGTAAACCTATGAACTGGTTTAGAATGACTGACATTTCTATATTCAGTCCTTCCTCCAGAAACCTGGTTCATCTCCTCATCTGCCAGGAGATGGCCAAGAGGCTTTGCACAGAGCTGTAGGCTTATTCTTGTAAGGATATTTTGAAGGGGTGATTTATTCGACCTCCTCAGAGCCCATTTAACCCATGTCTTCTCCACTGCCTGGCTCATATCTGCTGGTCCTTCCTGGTGCAGTGCCAGCAGATCAGGTGTAATTTTCTGCAAGGCTCCTGGACACCCCCCAGCAGAGCCCTCAGTCCCCTATTCTCTGATTGCCGACCTGTACGTCTCACTCACTACAGCAGATTTCCCAAGGGCAGTGGGGCATCCTGTAATCTCAGTACTGCCCCTGCCCGGTGGAGTCCAGCATCCAGTAGGTGCTCAATAAGCAGCTATTGAATGAATGGTTCCTTACCACTCTGTTGAAATTGCTGTTACATTTCCCTTACAAGTGCTGCCAAACAGTGTGGATCAGTGACATGCTTGTGAAAACACGTATTGTTGGGCACCATGTCCAGAGATTCATCAGTCTGTGGAAGGCCTAAGAATTAGCATTTTAAAGGAGTTCCCAGGTCCTGGCTGGTGCTGCTGGTCCATGAAATCCCATTTGAGAACCATCACTGCTCTAAACTCTTTCCTAATGAGAAAAAGTCAGTTGGTTATTCAGAAATATTGTTTAAGATGGGGAATCATAAAATACGGTACATACATACTTGAAATGTTTCATTTCTACTGAAAACTTATATAAATACACTTGGATTCATATTTTGTTGCTGTAGGCCTTTTTCTCCCGGGCCTTACGTAGTCCTGCAGTGTCTTTTTGCATTAACCATACCCATTTTCCATATTATAGGTTCTAATTTTAGTTTCTCTACAGTGGAGCATAAATTGAAAGACGTTAGCAAAGCAGTATGAATGCAGAAGTTCCCCTATTGTTTTATTCTTTCTTCTGCTTTTTGCTGTCTCACCCACCTGCTTTTAGCAACCGATCTCCAAAACATTCAGCCTTATCTTTATAGAAAGATATCTTTCTTTTTGTACTCATATTTCATCAATTTACTTAATATTTAATTCAATTTAATGCCAAGTATAACTGGTGTAAGCAGGTTTGGGGCTCATATCTCATAACCACCACACAATTTGGGTGGTTAGAGTGGAAGTTGCCAGTTTTTTATTGAAGTATGTTTGGTACGCAATCTTATGTTGGTTTCAAATGTATAGCACAGCGGTTCAACAGTCACCCATAGTATTAAATCCTCACCCCCTCTAGTGTGGTTACTATCTATCACTGCAGAAACATGTTACAGAATCATTGATTATATTCTCCATGCTCACCCCATTTTTTTTCCTGACATATGTCTATGTCTTCTTCCAAACCCACTTGTAATATTGGCTACTGGCTGGGTCCGTCCTGCCCTTCTCCCAAGCCTGTAATCTGCTCCTGCTGAGATTCCCTCGCCCCTTCCACTCTGGGTTCCTCATAGGTCAAGACCAAATTATTGGTTTAATTGATTTAATTTCCAAAGCATTGGGAATTAAGTCTGGCTGCTGAGTAGCCTCTGAGCTCCAGAGAACTGAGCCTTACCCTCTATGATGGATCTGTCCTTTCTCCCCAACTTTCAATGCAGTGTCTCATGTGCAATCAGAGATCAGACCGTATTCGCTGAGTGGATTAGTTAATGAGTGACAGGCCCAACATGAAGTGTAGGGCAGCCCCTCCCTGTTTCACTTAGCAGTGGGGTCAGATTTAATGCTTGTTTTCAGATGTGCTCTGATTTGGACTTTTCTCTTGTAGTTTCAGTAACACAACTGGCAGACACCAACACCATTTTTATGGAGACCACGACTACAGTTGCTGGTAACTTTATCTAAACTTTGGGGCTGCTGGTCCTGAGGCCCAAGGCTAACCCCAAGGGCTCAGGAGGGATGCTGCAGAGAACCCTGCTTTAGACGTAGGGCAGGAAGGATCTCCTCTGATAGGGTCCACCTGGGCCCTCAGGGTGCTCCACACTGACCAGAACACAGGCCCTGAGTCTCCATGCCAGCCTCTGTCCAGCCCACCACTTCCCCATGACCTCTGCCCCCGAGGCTGGTCCACTGGGCGTCCAGCAGGGGATACAGCGAGTCAGCAGGCAGCAGTGGCGGGTGGGCACAGTAGCACCTAACTGACACTCTGTGTGAACCATTTATTTCTTCTCTTCTTTTCCAGAATCTTCAACAAGTGCTGGGAACACAGCGGGTCTCTCTGCCTCGGTTGATGCTTTAAATGGTAACTTCTGCTCACTATTTCCTGATCTCACTATATTCCTGTTTGTACATGTGTGTGCCCACTTGTGTAAAAGCACAGACCATGACTTGAGCCAAAAAGATCAAGTGTTAAAAAAGTACCAGGAGGCAGAATAGCGAAATGGTTATGAGCACTGCCTGAGTTCAGGTCCCCCCTGTCATTTACAGTCAGGTGGTCTTGGTCAACCTCCTGGAACTCAGTTTCCCCATGGGGCTGTTCTAAGAACTAAGACGATACATGTAAATACATGTAAAGATCTTGATTATGATCTGAGGTTCCCATGTTGGGAAATGGCCAAGCCATCTGCCATGATTCAGCTTTAAAAACCAGCGTGTCAGGCGTGTGTTAGGGAGAAGAGGAGCTGTCACAAGTGCACAAGCAGGGGGTGCAGGGATGCGGGGGCTTCACAAGCAGGTCTAGCTCCACTGTGGAGGCCAAACACTGCTCTTGTTCCTCAGCGAGAGTACTCCCCGTCAGAGAGCTGGCATGATGGGCATCCCAACCAGGGCAGGGCTGTTCCATGGGCAGGACTAGCTGATGCCACTGGAACCATATTTGGTGGGTCAGGCCAGAGGTACAAGTAGGAACAGAAATGGAGGTTGCCACAAAGGCCCCTCAAAACACCAAGTTGACCAAACACCACTGTAGCTCTGTCCCTCAGATGGGTCAGACAGTGGAATCTCTGTTCCTGTCTCTAGATTTGGCCCTGAGGCTGGTGAACGGTGGTGACCGCTGTCAGGGTCGGGTGGAGGTGCTGTACCGAGGCTCCTGGGGCACCGTGTGTGATGACAGCTGGGACACCAATGACGCCAACGTGGTGTGCAGGCAGCTGGGCTGTGGCTGGGCCACGTCAGCCCCCAGTAGTGCACGGTTTGGGCAGGGCTCAGGCCCGATCGTCCTGGATGACTTGCGGTGCTCAGGACACGAGTCCTACCTGTGGAGCTGCCCCCACAACGGCTGGAACTCGCACAACTGCGGCCACTCGGAGGATGCGGGGGTCATCTGCTCAGGTGGGCCTAGCTCTTTGGGGTCCCTATCGGGGGCTGGTTTTCAATGACAGGGTCCTCCGTCCATTCGGACCCCTGGCTTACAGCTGCTTCTACATTTCCTGTTTCCCTGATGGCTCCTTTGCTCACTGCCAACAGTGACCTTGGTTTTGTTCTGGTTGCCAGGTGGAGCCATGGTGAATTAGGCCAAAGGGTGCCCCTGGCAGTTACCATCTACCTGTACTCACTACTGTGAGGGTGCAGGCAGGGGGAGAGAGAAAGTGCTGGAAGTGGGTGTGTGCACAGACACACGTGGATTAGGATTGCAGACGTGAGAGTGCATGTTCATGGCTGAGCCGGGACGAGGGCAGGGTTCTGAGTTCAGGTGTAACTCCCTGCACAGAAGTGGGATTCCCTGCCCGGATACCAAGTCTGCTGTGCCAGGGCCACGTGCCCCCAGGGGGAAGGCAAGGCAAAGTTTGTAATTGCCTCTGGTCAGGCCTGAACGATGCCACGTGGGATGTGTACCTGAAACAGGACACCTGAGTCAGATGGCCTCGTTGGACAGGGACATGCTGACAGGTGGGCCACTGGTCTATGGGAAAAGTGGGTCATGACATGTCTACGCAGAGCTGCCCCCCTTGACGATGGCAGGAGTGGAAGGGGTCTGCCCAGACCTCTCAGTGGGAGCAACTTCCAGGGCTGAGGATGGCCACTGCCTCACCCTCCCTGGCAGGGGACGAGCATGGACTGAGGGTCTGACCTGCGCCGAGCCCCCCAGCTGTGCTTCCACCAGAGCCGCCTTCTCTGCAGTGTGTCTGACCTGATCTTCTCTCTCCACAGCCTCCCATTCGCAGTCCACCACCACTCCAGGTGAGTCCTCCCGCCTCCTGAACCCTGGGTATCTCTCCTCTCTCTGTTGCCCTCAAAGGCTCCCAGCCAGCAGGGCCAGGAGGGGCCTGTGGAGGTTTTCTGCCCGCCAGCACCTGCGCTGATCACTGTAGTGCACGAGTCGGTTTCCGTTGAGCCCACCCACGTCCCTCTTCCTGTCTGGTGCCGTGAATAGGAGCATCGTGGCTCTAGCATCCTCTCCCAGCAGTGCTGGTGACAGTGACTGGGGGAGCTCGATCCTGGGGTCTTTTGTGCTTGAAAGCATCCTCTGGGCTTCGTGTAATGGGAGACCAGAGACCTTTCCCGGCACACCCCGCTCAGGGCCATAGGCATGCTTATGCCAAAGGGCACTGCGTCCGGAGGGCACTGGCCTTGCTCGTGCAGCTGGCTCCACCTTGCTGCCCCTTTGTGGACCTCACAGGGCACAACTGGGGCTCAGGAAAGGCTCCCCCTCCTCTGGCCATGGAGCTTCTCACCCCTCAGTGCCTGGCACCTGCTACAGGTTCATGACCCAGTCCTGTCTGTCCCCCTCCTAATAATCCTCCCTTTGGTCTCTGCAGACTGGTGGCGCACAACGACCCCTTATTATGGTAAGCATCTCCGAAGCATCAGCTCTGCACATGGCAGTGACCAGCCCCGGGGGAAATTCTGACTCCTGGGTTAAGCCTCTGTGCTCCCAGCCCATCCAAAGGGCGGGGTCCCCATTACCTCCCAGAATTCCAGTTATCCCATTACTTGGAGGTTATGGGACATTTTGGTTAGGATATTTTTTGCACCTAACAGAGACCCCCTCAAACTGTCTTAAGCTGGATGAGAACTCAATTGCGTACATGTTTAGGACATTTTGGGTGAAACTCGCCCCAGGGGTACCTGGCTTGTGACAAGCTCTGGGACAGGCTACTTTCCCACCCCCCACCCCACCCTCAGTCAGGGAGCTTCTTGGTCCTCACTGTGCCTGACACACCAGCTTCAGGGCCCAGCCCCAACCTCGGTTCTACCCCCTCCTTCTAATGTTCCTTGTCCTCTCTCTCCAGACTGGTGGACCACGACGACTCCTGTCACTGGTAAGTGGAGGGGCACCCTGAGGCATCAGTGCTCAGCTTTGCAGTGACCAGGCCTGGGTGACCCTCCTGCCTCATGGGCTGACCCTCTGACCTCCCCAGCCCATCCGATGAGTGGGGCTCCCTTTACCTGCCAACAATGGGATATATTTGTCCCTGGTTTTCCTTGCAAATGACCGGAAGCCTCCTCAAAGGCTCAAACTCTGCAAGGGAGCTCAATGGCTCACCTATTCAGGACATTTATGGGTAATGACTGGCTTCAGGCGCAGCTGGATCCAGAAGAGCCATTACTGTATGTGCCCCTGGACACTTCTTACGTCCACCTTCCCCCTTGGATCACCTCCACAATCTGCGTGCTCTCTGCACAGGGGTGCAGTTGCCAGTCCAGAGTGTAAATCCCACCGGGACAGAGACTCTGTGTACCGTGTTCACAGGCTGACCTTTACCGGACGGACTCTGGGCAGCCTGGTGGCACAGGTGCCTTCTCCTGATGTCTGTCCATGTGTGACCTGATATGCCAGCCATGGCCCATATGTCAGCCTTCATATTACCCAGGGATGGAGGGAGAGTAAGTGGCAGGAGGATGTATTTGAACCTCGGGGAAGCACTTTGCTGGTTCTCTTGAACAGGAAGGGGTGTCCTGTAATGCCACCAATCAGAGCAGGAGGCCCGAGGTTCAGAACCGGCTGCCCAGTAGGGCGTGGTCCTCCTGCAGTACTCTGTGCGGGTGCTGCGTGTCACTTCCCCCGTCTTCGGACAGAGCCTTGCCTCTCCCTGGGGTGCCCACCCACACCTGCACCCTGCCCTTGTGCTGACCTTGGGCCCAGTGCCTGGTTCTGAGCGGACAGTGCTATTTCCTCAGAGGAACTCAGAGGTCCTCAATGTGCACTTGAAGCCTGGACCCTTGTTCTCCGGGGGTAGAGGTGGTGTCTCAACTCACCTGCCAGGATCCTGCACAAAGCCCAGGCTCCTGGCCTGGGAGTCGGAACCAGAGTAAATGGCAAATATCACTGCTCCTCTGCCTGCCACTCTTTGTGCCCTCTGCTACCATCTGAGTCACCACGTTAACGGGTCTTTCCCTGTAGGCTTTCAGTTCCTCCCTGAGTGCTACACCCTCACCACCATGTGGCTCCAGCACTTTTTTAAAAATTTGAATCCATGGGGTTTTTTGTTATCATTAATCTACAATTACATGAAGAACATTATGTTTACTAGGCTCTCTCCCATCCCAAGTCCCCCCGTCAAACCCCAGTACAGTCACTGTCCATCAGCACAGCAAGATGCTGCAGAATCACCACCTGTCCTCTCCGTGTTGCAAAGCCCTCCCCTTTCCCCCAAACCCCACATTGTACATGCCAATCATAATACCTCCTTTCTTCTTCCCCACCCTTATCCCTCCCCATCCTCCCATTTTCCCCAGTCTCTTTCCCTTTGTTAACTGTTAGTCCATTCTTGGGTTCTGTGATTCTGCTGCTGTTTTGTTCCTTCAGTTTTTGCTTTGTTCTTATACTCCACAGATGAGTGAAATCATTTGGTATTTCTCTTTCTCCACTTGGCTTACTTCACTG